AGCATTCAGGAAATATATTAATCCATCAAGGCGTTATTAAACTAGCAGACTTTGGCTTATCAAAAAGAGTTGAAGCAGCAAGTAATCATTCAAAAGTTTTTGGTGTACTTCCTTATGTAGATCCTAAAAGTTTTATTAGAGGAAGAAACAGTGACAATACATCGCAACAATATAAACTAAACGAAAAAAGTGACGTTTACAGTGTTGGCGTTCTCTTGTGGGAGCTATCAAGTGGACGTCCTCCTTTTAAAAATGATGCTTATGATGTTTGTTTGGCTATGGAAATTTTACAAGGATTTAGAGAATGTATTGTTTCTGGTACACCTGAAGATTATGTAAAAATTTATACTGGTAAATTTTTTTATCTAAAAGTTATAAATTTTTTGTATTCGTCATTAAATTTTTTATATGATTTTAGATTGTTGGGATATTGAGCCAGATAATCGTCCGGTCATGTGTAAAGTGCGTAATGAATTAAAAGCAATGATTGAAAAAACAAATATAAATGGTAATAATGATGAGGATAAATCAAATTTTCAATTATCTAAGCAACAACTTTGCTTGGATAACGTTAATGCTTCTTCTAGTATTAGCAATCCATTACATGGAGAATTATCTCAATTAAGGCAAAATTTTAATCAGATGAATTTAGAAGAATTAGTATCGAATAATGAAACACCAACATCATCAATTGTTATCCCTTTCGCTCAATTCATTCCACTTGTTAAAGAAGTAACCGATATTCTTAATGTGGTTATAGATTTATATAAGACAGCTCAACATAATAAAAATATAACAAAAGTCTTGATGGAACGAATTATTGCAGCAAACTCCGCAGTTGAAATATTAAAAGCAAGAGAAGATTTATTTACTTTAAAAAATTATACAAGTTTACAAATATTAATTCAAGTTCTTCAAAAAATGAAAAAATTTATTGAAGAAATCACACAATATAATACTGTGCAAAAATTTTTGTGGCCTAAATTAATCGAAAAACGTTTTAAAGAATTATGTAAGGATTATGAAAGTAGCATTAGCTTATTAGATTTTACCTTAACGGTTGACTTTAGGATTAATTCAGATAAAGATGATAAAATTTTAAAGGAAGACATTGAGGATCTTCATAAGTTTCAAGAAGCTTTAGAGGAAAGTATCGGGGAAGTGAATAAGAAAATAAGTCATGTTGACGAAAAAATCTCTGGAGCAAGTAGGGATGCTAATGGTTATGGTCATGACCGGTCATAACCGGTCATAACCGTGACCGATATCGGTCGGTCAAAGG